TTTTTGTCCGTCTTGAGATTTTTTTTTTTTAGATTTTAGGTTCTTCCGTTTTTCAATTTTTCGATTTGTTGATTTTTTAAATTTTACATTCCTCAATCTTACAATTTTACGATTTTTTTTATGTTTCGATTTCCCAATTTTGAATTTTTTTAATACTCCAATTTTTTGTTTCCGTTTCTCAATATCTCGGTTTTTGATTTTTAAAACTTTGTGACTTTTTCATTTGGCGTTTTCTCGATTTTTTAAATTTTCTGCGATTTTGATGTCTCAATTTTTCAATTTTTGGAAGTTTTGATTTTACATTTTTTTAAGTTATAAATTTTTGTTTCAATTTTTAAATAGAATTTTAAATTTGGAATTTTTCGATTTTTGGATTTTTCCATTTTCTTTAATTTGACAACTTCGCGACTTTTCAATTTATCGATTTATGTATCAGTATTTTATTTTGATATTTCAGTTGGCATTTTTTAAATTTTAATTCTTTCAATTTTCTAAAGTTTGATTTCTCAATTTTTTGATTTTTCGATTTACAGGTTTTAAGTTTTTCGGTTTTTCAATTTTTCGATTTTTTGTATTGTTTCGATTTCCCAATTTTGAAATTTTTTATTACTGCAACTTCTCGATTTTTCAGTTATTCGACATCTCGGTTTTTTGGTTTTTAAAACGTTTCAACTTTTTGATTTTACGAGATCTCGATTTTTCAAGTTTTCTGCGATTTCGATTTCTCAATTTTTTGAAGCTTTAGTTTTTCAGTTTTATTAAATTATGGATTTTTCTACTTTTTGTTGTTTCAATTTTTCGATTTCTCGATTTTTCAACTTTCGTTTTCTCAATTTTCCGATGTTTCAGTTTTGGGATTGTTTCAATTTTTCGATTCTTCTATTTTTCAATTATTCAAATTTTCGATATCTCGATTTTTTTTTATTTCGATTTTTCTATTTTCCGATATTTCATGTTTACAATTTTTCAATTTTTCGATTTTTTTATCTTCGATTCTTCAAGTTTTCGATTTTTCAATTTTTTTATTTTGACGTATCTAAATTTTCGATTTTTCGATTTCTCAAATTTTCAATATTTCGATTTCTCGATTTTTCAGTTTTTCGATGTTTCAGTTTTGGAATTTAAAAAACAAAATTAATGAGTATAAAAATTGTAAAGAAGAGTAAATGAAGCGAATAAAAAATTGAAAAATCCAACGACTTAAAAAAGTTACAAAAAATGAGGCAAAAAGCTAATTTTTTGTGAATATTTTATGTCGTGTTTAGAGGCTTTTTATCGCCATTTTTGTGTTTCTTGAAAGGTTTTTTGTAGATTTTTTTGGTAACGTTTTTTTATCTTATTTTCTCGTATTTTTCATCTTTTTTTGTTTTTCTTTTTGTCACCTTTTTTGACTATTTTTAAAGCACTTTTTGACTATTTTTAAAGCTCTTTTTTTAGCTTTTTTACTCTTTTTTCCTCTTATTTTTAGCGCCGTTTTTATCCCATTTTTGCCCAATCTATTTCCTTTTTTGTTTCCTTTTTTCCTACTCTTTTTTATCACTTTTTTAAAGAGAGTTTTTTTGAAACTTTTTAGATATTTTTTCTCATTTTTTACACTTTTTTTAGTCGTTTTTGGGCTTTTTATATTTTTATCGTGTTTTTTCGCCTTTTTTTCTGCCTTTTTTCCACTGTTTTTAAAACACGTTTTTACACTTTTGTGTGGACTTTTTTGTCGTCTTTTTATCACTCTTTTTGAATTTTTGGACATATTTTCTTTGTTTTTTTCGTCGTCTTTTTTCATTGTCCTTTTTTGTCGCTTTTTCCTCCTTTTTTTAATATTCCAATTTTTCGATTTTTCAATTTTTTAACATGTTTTTGATTTTGCGATTTCTCGATTTTTCAAGTTTTCTGCGATTTGCTTTTTCCGATTTTACGGAATGTTTTACGATTTTTCAGTTTTTCGATTCTTCTATTTCCGAGTTTTCAATTTTGATTTTTCGATTTTTTTGGTTAACCAATTTTTCGATTTTTCGATTTTTCCGTGTTTCGATTTCCCGACTTTTCGATTTCCCAATATTTCAGATTTCGATGTTTCAGTTTTAGAATTTAAAAACCGAATAGAAAAATTGTAAAGAAGAAAAACCGAATCTAATCGAAACATTCTTAAAAAAGTGACAAAAAATCAGGAAAAAAGCTCATTTTTGTAGCTTTTTAAGTCTTTTTAGGGGCTTTTTTATCGTCATTTAAATGTTTTTGTAGGTTTTTATGTCTGTCTTTCTGGCCAGGTTTTTTTCTCTTAATTTTATCGTGTTTTTCGCCTTTTTTCCTTTTTTTGTTGCCGTTTTTTGCTACCTTTTTTAAAGTGGCTTTTTTGATAATATTTGGTTACATTTTTCTCAGTTTTTGACATTTTTAGTTGTTTTATGGCGCTTTTTACCGCCATTTTTATGTATCTAGTATTTTTTATCACTTTTTCTGTTCACTTCTGTTATTCTCCTATTTTTATCGACTTTTTTACTTTTTTTTTTCAAGTTCTTTCCACCGTTCTTAAAGCGCGCTTTTTACACTTTTGTGTGGATTTTTTTTGTCGTCTTTTTGTAATTTTTTTGTCGAATATTTTATCCCATTTTCTTTGTCTTTTTGTCGTCTTTATTCATTGGCCCTTTTTGTCCTCATTTTGTCGCTTTTTTCCTCCTTTTTTAATATTCCAATTTTTCGATTTTTCAATTTCTTGACATCTCGATTTTTCGATTTTTCAAACGTTTCGACTTTTTGATATTTCGATTTCTCGATTTTTCAATTTTTCAAAGTTCTAATTTTTCAGTTTTTTTAAATTATGGATTTTTCGACTTTTTAATGTTTCAACTTCTCGATCTTTCGATTTTTCAACTTTCGGTTTCTCAATTTTTCGATTTTCATTTTTGTTCACTCAAATTTTCGACATTTCAATTTTGGGATTATTCGATTTTTAAATTTTTGAATTTTTGACGATCCTAATTTTCGATTTCTCGATTTTTTGATATTTCGACTTTTAAATTTCGATTTTCAGGTTTTCAATTATTCAATTTTTCGATTTTTCCACTTTTGATTTTTATTTTTCGACTTTTCGATTTCTCCTCTCAATTTTTGGATTCTTTAATTTTCTTTTTGGTTTTTCAGTCTTTAAATTTTTCGATATTTCAGTTTCTCGATTTTTGAAATTTCAATTTCTAGATTTTTTTGTTTCGATTTTTCTATTTTCCGATATTTTAGTTTTACGATTTTTCAACTTTTTAATTTTTGGCTTTTCAAAATTTTGGACTTTCCGATTTCGCCGGTTTTTCTATATTTCAGTTCTGGAGTTTAAAAAAAGAAAAAAAAATGAATAAAAAAATCGGAAAGACGAAAAAACGAATCCAATCGAAAAGCTGAAAAACCCAGGAAAAGAAAGCTCGTTTTTTGTCATTTTTTAAGTCGTTTTAAGGGGCTTTTTAATCGCCATTTTTGTTTGTTTCTGTTGTTTTTCCTGGTCACTTTTTTTTTCTTTTAATTTTATCATATTTTTCACCTTTTCTGTCCCCTTTTTTCACTGTTTTTAAAGCACATTTTTCTCGCTTTTTGTGCTTTTTTTTCCTCTTTTTTTTGGCGCTCTTTTTATGCCATTTTTGTTCATTCCATCACCTTTTTTATCATCTTTTTTACACTTTTTTATTGGTTTTATTTGGCTTTTTGTTGGAATCTTTATGTCTTTTGTTTTTTGTCGCTTTTTCGATTCTCTTTTTTCTCATATTTTTATCGTATTTTTTCCTTGTTTTTGTCGTCTTTTTTGTCCCCTTTTGTCGCCTTTTTGTCACTTTTTGCCCAATTTTTTAACACATTTTCTTCACCCTTTTTGTCGTCTTTTTTTCGTTGTTCTTTTTTGTCCGCTTTCTGTCGTTTTTTTCCTCCTTTTTTTTTGTTGCCGTTTTTCGCTATTTTTAAAGCACATGTAAAAATATTAAGAAAAGATGATCAAAAAGTGACAAAAAGTGATTATTTTGTCACTTTTTGATCATCTTTTCTTAATATTTTTAACGAAGTTTTGTTTTAGTTTAGTCCCTTTTTTGTGGTCTTTTTTCCCTTTCTTTCAGTCCTATTTTTATGCATTTGTCGCCTTTTTTGATGCCTTTTTTCACTGCGATTTTTTTTCTCTCGTTTTTTTTTGTCATCTTTTTTCTCCCTTTTTATAGCCCTTTTTTAGTCGCTCTTTTAAGGACTTTTTGTCGTTTTGTTGTAAATAAATGTAGTCTCTAATAGAGGCGAAGAACTCATTGTTAGATGAAATTATTTCAGTGATATCGTTAATGAAAAGCAAAAAAAGTAGCAGCCCAAGATTTGACCCTGACGGAACTCCTGAAGTTGCTATTTACATGTCAGATATGTCCGTGATAAATGAAGTTTCAGATTTCAGACGTAAACAGTCACTATCTATAAAATTTCAAAAAATGTAATCCAGTAAATCGAAAAATGCAAAAATAAAAATTTACAAATAATTATTTCATTATAAAACTTTGAATAATTTAAAAGTTAAGCCCCAAAAATATGAAAAATAATGAAATTTCACTCTCAACAGGAACTAAATATAGTGTACAATAAATCCACCGCGACTGCACCATAAACGCATAATTACGCTTTCTACATATCCTCAATTAACCATCTCGCAAAAAGTCCATCGGAAATCCTAGAAAACCGCCACTTTCGCAATCATGGGAAACCCCCCAGAAAAAGCCCGCTAATTAAGTCATAATCCTATAATTTTCACGGGCAATAAAAACGATATATGGCCGTTTAAACAGGAATTCGCTTCCTGCAGAATCCGAAACGTCAACACCATTATCCCCAATTACCGCAGCCATAATTTGAGTAAATGATTGGGGCGCCACTTAACATCTTATACCATTTCGGCTTAAATCCGCCCCCTTTTAAATTAAGTCATTTGGGTGGGGATGGCACGAGACGTCACTAAGAAATGTTTCAGATCTAAAAGCTCCTGCCAGTTTCCCGTTAGTTGTATCCTAGTGGTCGCATTATTAGATTAGCGCATTCATAAACAAACATTAATTTCAATTTGAGTCGGTGTCAAATTAGCGGGATTACGGGAATAGTGCGATCGCTAATTGAAACGTAGAGCACTCGAAATGGGTCTTGACGTTTATTTTCGGGCTGGAAATTTGATTTTTTTTTGAATTGTGGGTTCGATTTTTGAAGCGGCGATTTAAAAATGTTTGGATACGACGAACAGTTGACGAATTTGGCGGCAGCGTCGGACTACAGCGGAAGACTGAGTACGAACAATACGAGGCAATTTTCAGTGACGAGTTTGCTGAGGCTGGGACAAAAGAGGAGAAGTTCGGACGAATCGAACGAAGGTGAGTTTGTGATAGTTTAGTGAGGAAAATTGTGGCTGAATATGGGATTGAAATAATCGAGGATGAGTGTTTACGAATGTTCGGAACATTCCGATAACGAACATAAACAAAAATAGTTGAAAATAGTTCCATGTAAAACAAATCTGCAGTTAGATCTGTATACCAACCTATCACTAACGTACTTGAAGGCATATTAATCAGTGACTACGATATGTTAACCAAAAAGTTAAAATAAATACAAATAGCTTATTTTAATAGAACGGACAAATTTACTTAAAAAATTAACTGATGGTGTAATAAACTCGGCTTCAGTCATAATAACGAAGCTATTTTTTTTACATGGCCCTAGAACCTAAAGAAAATTTTTAGTTTTAAAAATATGTAGTAATTTTTAATTTTTTATGAGAGTTCAATTCTGAAAAAAAAGCTCTGAAAACAAAGAAAACAGTTGAGATTTTTTTTTGTTTTAATAACATAATTTTTTAAATGGTCAATTCCAAAATATGGTTTTAGTTCTTCTTTTTCTATGATTTTATATTCAATTCCATCAGCTGGTTGTTCAATGTCCGACGGGATTTCAGAGTCATATATACAGATTTATATATTATTATTTTCCGTTATTTCTTTGATCGGATAATACACGAAACTGCATCAACACCACAATCGGCACTTTTTTTTGTTTATAAACAATGTATTATCATTATCAGACCAGTGGCTTCCTAGAAATTGGACAATAATTCTAAATATTGTCAACAGAAGTGTCACTACCAATTAGATTTTGAAATTAAATTTTGGAGCGTTGTAGAAAAAATCTTGTTTGTATTACGTGCGCTTGGACAACTTCGCGTCTAGTGCGTAAAACACTACCATTTCACCTTATTGCAGAAATAGTTATCAGAGCATTAATTTAAAAACAGATTTATTTAATAATTTTCGTGATTACGTCATTATATTTTAGTTCCAAACTGAATTCTTGTGTCCTTTTTGATTTTTGTTTATTCACAGAAATGAACAACAAATATTTGAGACAATGTTAAGAATCTCGTGTAGATGATACAGCGCTAACAAAATTTGACTAAATTTTATCAAATAACATATCCCTATACTTGTGGTTTATGAATCCGTCTTAATTTACCACCGTAGACGACTAGATTTTCGCAAATAAACTAAATTGCGTCTTCATTAATTTTTGTAATACATAATCTAATGGGTATAATTTTTTAGGTTTATTCCATTTTCTCGAAAATTTGAAAATGCAGTAATGTTACAAATCTGGCGTACACAAAATTTTAACTCATTTCTGAAATGATACAACAAACACATTAAAAACTCTAGAAATAGAAGAAATATTATGTTGTTTGGTGACAGAATTCTGCAATCTTGAAAATTATTTAGAAGTTATCTGGTTTTTAGACGTGTTTGATAGTGTAATTGCATTTTAAAAATAACCGTTACTTTGCCACTTAGTTTTTCTTTTAGATTTTCCACATTTTCCAAAAAAAAGTTACATAAAAAAATCACGCTGTAATTTTCTTCTCGGGTCCTTCTCGGGAACCTCATGTAGGTCTTGTTTTTGAAGTCATTTGAAAGAAGCTTCGGAGACCCTTGTGTTTTGTTTTTGAAGTAGTTTGAAAAAGAATCTCAAGGACCCTCTGTGGGTCTTGTTTTTGAAGTAATTTGAAAGAATCTCGGGATGTTTCTGTGTTTTATTTTTGAAGTTATTTGAAAGAATATTAGAAACATCATGTGGATCTTGTTTATAAAGTAATTTGTGTTTTCGTGTCTGGTTTTTGAAGTAGTTTGAAAGTATCTCCAGGAGCCCTTATGGTTTGTTTTTGAAGTAGTTTGAAAAAATCTCGGGGATCCCTTGTCTGTTTTTCAAGTAACTTGAAAGAATCTCGAGGGTTTCTTATGTCTGGTTTTGGTAGTAATTTAAAAGAATCTCGGGGACCTTATGTGGGTCTTATTTTTTAAGTAATTTGAAAGAATCTGAGGAACCACTGGTTTTTGAAATAATTATGTAATTCAAAAGAATCTCAGGATCTTTCTGCGTATTAATTAATACTGTTTTAAAGTGTAACAGGCAAATTAGTTTTTTTTTTATGAAACACCCTATATATTTTGACATATTTAAATGACTTCTTCGTAGGCTTTGCAACCATAGTTTATTTTCGAAGTTTCGATGCGACGTTGCCACGTTATTCCAATTTTCTTGAAATACTTATTTTAGTAATGGAATGAATTTTCGATTTTTCAGTTTTCAATTGCTTGATTTTTCAATTTTTAGATTGTCGATTTTTCAACTTTTCAAGTTTTTTCTTTTTTGATTTTTCGACTTTTAGGTTTTTCAATTTTCGGTTTTTCGATTTTCGATTCTTTGAATATTTGATTTTTAGAATATGGTTCATCGATTTTTTTTAAATTTTGGATTTTTCGAGATCTCGATGTCCCGATTGATTTCTCGATTTCTCCATTTCTCGTTTTCGCGACTTCTCTATTTCTCGAGTTTTCAATTTTAGATTTTTCAAGTTTTCTGTTATTTTAGTTTCAAAAATTAGTTATGTATACGAAATCTTATAATACATAAAATAAGACTATAGGAGAAAAATAAGGCAATAAGTACCATTTGTGCTTTGTTTTTGAAGTATTTTGAAACTATTTCGAGGACTCTTGAAGTAATTTCAAAGAATCTCGGGATCTTTCTGCTTTTTATATTTAAAGTTGTTTGAAAGATTATTGGAAACTTCATGTGGATCATGTTTATAAAGTAATTTGTGTCCTGGTGTCTGGTTTTTGAAGTAGTTTGAAAGTATCTCCAGGACACCTTATGCTTTGTTTTTGAAGTAGTTAGTTGGAAAGAATCTGGAACACTCCTTGTGTCTGGTTTTTGAAATAGTTTGAAAATATCTCCAGAACCCCTTATACTTTATTTTTGAAATTGTTTGAAAGAATCTCGGAGATCCCTTGTCTTTTTTTTTTCAACTAGTGAGAAAGAGTCCCGAGGATTCCTTATGTCTGGTTTTTGAAGTAGTTTAAAAGAATCTCAGGGAGCTCATGTGGGTTTTGTTTTTGAAGTAATTTGAAAGAGTCTGGGACACTCCTTGTATCTGATTTTTCAAGTAGTTTGAAAGTATCTCCACGACCCCCTCATGCCTTGTTTTTGAAGTAGTTTGAAAAAATCTCAGGGACCTCATGCAGGTCTTGTTTTTGAAGTAATTTGAAAGAATCTCCGGATCTTTCTATGTTTTGTTTTTGAAGTTGTTTAAGAAATATTGGACACTTTATGTGGATCTTGTTTATAAAGTAATTTGTGTTTTTGTGTCTGGTTTTTGAAGTAGTTTGAAAGTATCTCCAGAACCTCTTATGCTTTGTTTTCGAAGTAGTTTGAAATAATCTCGGGGATCCCTTGTCTTGTTTTTCAAGTAACTTGAAAGAATCTCGAGGGTTTCTTATGTCTGGTTTTTGCAGTAATTTAGAAGAATCTCAGAAACCACTGTTTTTCAAATAATTATGTAATTCGAAAGATTCTCAGGATCTTTCTGTGTATTGATACTGTTTTAAAGTGTCACACGCAAATTAGTTTTTTTTAATGAAACACCCTATATACATATTTTGACATATTTGATTGACTTCTTCTTAGGCTTTGCAACCACCGAAGTTCCGATGCGACGTTGCCACGTTATTCCAATTTTCTTTTTTATCAGTGGAATGAATTCTCGATTTTTCGGTTTTCAGTTGCTGGATTTTCCAATTTTTCAAATGTCAATTTTTCAACTTTTTAAGTTTTTTCCGTTTTTCGATTTTCCATTCTTCGAATATTCGATTTTCCGAGATTGATTCATCGATTTTTTTGATTTTTCAAGTTTTCGATTTTTTTGATAGATTTTTCCATTCTTTGTTTTTTAAATTCTTCGATTCTTCAATGCTTTGGTTCTTCTATTTTTCGATTATTCGAATTTTCCATTTTTCGAGACCTCGATGGCCCGATTTCTCGATTTTTCGATTTCTCATCTTCGCGACTTCTCCATTTCTCGATTTTTCGATTTTTAGATTTTTCAAGTTTTCTGTAATTTTTGTTTCAAAAATTAAAGTTATGGATACGAAATCTCATAATACATTAAATAAGACTAAAGATGGAAAGTAAGGTAATTTGATAGGATCTCGAGGATTCCTTATGTCTGGTTTTTAAAGTAGTTTAAAAGAATCTCGGGAACCTCATGTGGGTATTGTTCCTGAAGTCATTTGAAAGAATCTTGGAGACTCCTTGTAAGTTTTGTTTTTGAAGTAGTTTCAAAGAATCTCAAGGACTCCTTATGTCTGATTTTTGAAGTAGTTTAAAAAAATCTCGAGGACCTATCATGTAGGTCTTGTTTTTGAAATCATTTGAAAGAATCTCGGGGACCCTTGTGTTTTGTTTTTGAAGTAGTTTGAAAGAATCTCAGGGATCTCATGTGGGTCTTGTTTTTGAAGTAGTTTGAAAATATCTCCAGGACCACTTATGCTTTGTTTTTTAAGTAATTTGAAAGAATCTCGAGGATTCCTTATGTCTGGTTTTTGAAGTAGTTTAAACGAATCAAAGGGAACTTATGCTTGTTTTTGAAGTAATTTTGAAAAAATCTCAGGGGAGCACTTGTGTAAGGTATTTGAAGTAGTTTGATATAATCTTGGGGTCCCTTTCTTGTTGTTGAAGTAATTTGAAAGAATTTGGGACACTCCTTGTGTCTGGTTTTTGAAGTAGTTTGAAAAAATCTAGGAGATTCCTTGTCTTGTTTTTCAAGTACTGTGAAACAATCTTAAGGATTCCTTATGTCTGGTTTTTGAAGTAATTTAAAATAATCTCAGGGAACTCATATGGGTCTTGTGTTTGAAGTAATTTAAAAAAATCTGGGATACTCCTTGTGTCTGATTTTTGAAGTAGTTTGAAAGAAACTCGGGAATCCTTTGTCTTGTTTTTCAAGTAGTGTAAAAGAATCTCGAGGATTCCGTATGTCTGGTTTTTC